CAGGCGGTATAGAGGTACGGAGAGCTGCAGAATGACAGAGTTCTTACATAGTCGCCATCACATAAGTATTAGTAGGGGCTCCACAGTAAATTTTATAATTTTATTCAGACATTAGAGTTTTATATTCATATTGTAAAGGCAGTGTGCCTTAGTACGATTTTCAGTTAATTCATGTTGAGATATTTTTATTATTTCAGATATTAGATATGATTCAGTTGAGACATGATTTTCATTTATGAAATACCTCTTTCTATATCATGTTTGTTATTTCTATTTCCTATTTTGCATGTTTTGTACCTGTACTTTTATTTGATTCCACTAGAGAATATTACTGTGATTGGTAAAACGTGTTTATGCACAGTATAGGTGCTTGGCAGGTTTGACATCTCTAGTTTCACCTTGGACTGTAGTCATGTGTAAAACCAGGGGCGTCACAAATTATAAATTCCAATATATAGTATGTGTATATAAATATTTATATAGCTGTCTTTATACCCTACCTTTTACAATTTTGCCATGTATCTCATACTTGTACCCGTACCGAGACCTATATCCATACTCATGCAACATACCTTATAATAATAGATTTGTACTTTACAAATAAGCCCTAATCAAAGATAATTATGTAACACTCCCCATCCACCAAGCTGGAGCATGTGTGTCATGCATTATTAGTTTGTTACATGTAAACTGAACCTGAGATTTCAGGTAGCTGAGTAAGCAAGTTCACTATCTGATGAACAGATTGCACATACTTGTCTCTCAAGTAACCCTCTCTTGAACAACAAGAGAATCGACATTGATGTGCTCAGCCCTCTTATGAAATATAGGACTATTTGCAATACGGATAGCTACCTGAATACTGCAATATTACCTCATCTTAGAACGAAACATGTAACCTGTAAAACTCCGTGAATTTTGAAAAATATTGTAAAGTATATTGATAAATGAGCTCTAATTATGATGAATATCATTTATGGATGAATGATTATGCTAACTATTGATTTGAGATCAATTAAGAGTATATATGAGAGTATACAAAGGTTAAACATGCACAAAAAAATCTAAAAAAATGACCAGTTAAGAGTATACATACATTACACACCGATACAGTTCGAATCTGAAAAAAGTCAAAAAGACAAACGTTGAGGTATCTTCAATAGCTTTCCAACGCATCTTAAATCACCACATTCCGATGTCGGACGTGACAGTTACAACCAAAATACTGAAGACTATTTTCCCAGTCTGACTAGGTTTCCTGTTTCGGATTTAGGCTGTTTTGATTCGGGTTTGCAGTTATATATATATATACATGTTTACACACGAAAAACACATCTTTTTATCAGTATTCCAACCCTAGCAGCCCTTCTTCCTCTCTCTCAAACTCTAATCATAATTTGTGAGATTTGGGAGAGTTCTAGGGACGTTTGTCGAAAGGAAGGCGAGATTTTACGACTTTGGTGAAGAGGGATCTTGCACGCACGTGTTCAGAAGTTCAACACGACGTTTGAGGCAAGATCATCTACCTCCAAACCTCTCCCTGTAGTTAATTCAAGATTTAATATGTTTAATTGATGAATCTCATGTTTAAGCTTAACCCGATGTTTTAAAATCTTAGTTTGTGATGTTAATTTTTAAACCAATGTGAAAATATGTAGTTTTAGTTGTTTATATTAATTTGATGATCATGATCATTAGTGTTGTATTTAATTTCGTTTTTAACTTGTTAATCGTGCTTAAATCATGTTTAAACACTAGTTTAATAATTATTTGAGTTTTCTTGCTAATTAAAGAAGTCTAAATCCTAGGTTGATGATACCTAAGTGATGTGAGCATGTTTAAACGAATTTAGCTCTGTTCAATGTTTAGAATTTATCATGTTTACTTAACCATATTTATAAATTAGGTTATTTGAGAAATTTTGATTAATTAGGATGTTAAACCTTAATTAGTTTAATTCAAGTGTTTATATCACGATGAGTTAATTCATGTTAAGTAATTATGAAAGATTTAATCTTGTTATATGCCTCATGTTGATAAAAATAAGTTTTTAAATAAAGTTACAAAATACAAAACATCAGAAATCTGAACTTGTGTTTTCTTCTCTAGCCGGTCGACCGACCAAGACTAGCCGATCGACCGGTGAGGCCTTGATCGTGCACATTGTGTGCACAGTTGCTTTCGATCGATCGACGCCCTAAGGATGGTCAACCGACCTGTGTTCTCTTTGTTTTTGAGTGGTTTTTGCAGCGTTTGACCGTGAGTGCGGGGTTCGAGTTGCACGATTACACATGTACAATCATGAGCATACATGAATAGTATTGTAGCACACACAAATATCCTGAAGAGGATTATTACAAATATTGTTTTCAACTACACTTAGGATATGGGTTATTACATTATATACATGTATGGATATCGTTGATGAGCACCGCTCAGTACTACTTGGGATAGTGCGTCAATATACCATTAGTACAGGCTATTAAGTCGGGTTTTAGGATGCTTGATCTAGTAGTCCGTCCCGCACGTAGATGCGATGAGGCTTGTGAGTCGTATACCTAGGATGTCTTGATTTGGTAGTCCGTCCCGCACGTTGATACGATGAGACTAATGAGTCGTGTACACTATTAGGATGCTGATTTGGTAGTCCGTCCCGCATGATAATACGATGAATTATAAACTTTGTAAGGATTTATATTGTGATAATTATCTGATAGCCTGAGTCTTGGTGGACGCTATTATGAACATGACTCGTCGCTGAGTTATATATGACCGAGATACTTTACTCTTGTGGGTACGCGGGATTATATACTGTTGTTTATAATATCTTCTAAGGGATAGTGGAAGATATTTTTGGTCCGATATTGTGATGACTTTACTTCCTTGTATTGCTTTCCTTTATTCCTAATTTGGAAAAAATAATTAGTGATCCACAATTTGAGACATGTGATATATACATGAGGGTTTTCTTGTTTGGATTATTTCGTTGACGTACCAGTTTTGTGTTATGTGTTTCTAATTATTAATTCTATTTAGATTGTTTTTTCTTAGTTCGGTATTGATATTTAGTTATCTATAATTTGAGACATATGGTATATACATGAGGGTTTTCTTATTTGATTTATTTCACTCGACGTACTATGTCTCGTGTTGTACGATTCTAAATATTAATTCCATTTAGATACAGGATAAATGATTTAGTTAGACTATGCTTAATAGATAGAGCCTCCATCACATCTAATAGATGATCTTGCTATAACGCTCTGACGCTCTTGTTTTTTTTTTCAATTACTTTCAGGCAGCAGCTCAGAGTTCCAGAGAGCCGCAGGATGACAGACTTCCAGCATAGTCGCCGTCACATGTTTTTAGTAGATGAGACTCAACTACAATTGATATTTTCTTCGAACATTTAGAGTTTTGTATTTCATCTTGTAAAGGCTGTGTGCCTTAGTTTATTTTCAATTGACTCATATAAAGATACTTCACATTTAATTCAGACTTCAGTTGTATACATTTTATTCAGTTGAGACATGATTATATTTATTAGATATCTCTTTCTACATCATGTTTAATGCATTTATTTCCCATATTTTACATGTTTTGTACTTACACTTGTTGTAGATTCCACTAAAGAGATATTACTGTAATGGTAAAACGTGTTGTTGCATAGTGTGAGTGCATGACAGGTTTGACATCTCTGGGTTCACCTTGAACTGCAGTCATGTGTGAAAACAAAGGCGTCACATAACCAAGCTCATCGAGTACTTGTTGTATCAGATCATCTCACAAGTAATATTTGTACTCTTTTAAGATCTGGAGTATCTTAAAAATATAGATCTAAGAGCCTTGGAGAATAAATTGGTCCTTCAAGAATTATGATCGTGAACAAAATACACAACATATCTAAGTTGGTAAATGAGAAAGATTAGCAGATGGATAAAGTAGAGTGTATGGAATTTGTTCATTAAGACAGACAAACACATGTGATTCATAAGGTCACATGATACATCACCAAAAACATCTTTATTAAAGTGTCAGGAAACTTTCGTAGGAATAAGAAGCATGCAAGCTACTTATTAAAATATCCCTTTTTATGTTCGCGTGTCATTCTGTCAATTGTATAAATAGGTGAATAATCCACAATGTAACATGAAATCCTTAAACAAAAAACTAAAGGTTTTAGGAATACACGCCTAATCGTTGAAACTTTTATCAAATCATCATAATGAATATTTTACCGCCTAACCTGTAATCAACTCTCAGTATACCCTGCCCCCATAGGGGCTAGATAACCCATAACTAAATTAATTTAGATAAGAATTCATCCTTCTTTGTCTTCGTCCACCATCCAAGAAAAAAGATCTTAAACATCCTTTAATTTCTGACAGTGGGCCAAGTTCATAACTTGTGGCGCAATCACATTCAACAGTAGTTGACGATCTACTCATCAGACATTTGATTGAGGAAATGTTTAGATACATCACTTACCTTTCACTCGTTTGGTTTGGTTTCTGGACTGAAATTTTCTTTCTTACACGTTAACCTATCATCTCCTTTTATACAGTACCTTTGGTACATTGGTCTAAGTACAGAAGCATTTCATGGAGATTGGATAATTCAAAGTCAACATCTATAAAAATCAAATCTAAGAGCTACAACTGCCATCTTAGATCAATCATGAAGGTGACAAAATATGAGAAAACAACTAATACAGCCAGTATGACTCAAACATTCTACTGGGCCAGTTATCTTATACAGATAATCTAAAGTGAGTAATCTTCAGAGGTATTAAATATATGAATAATCAATAAGGCTGTAATATAATGCTTTCTTAATGGCTATAATACTAGACGGACATGCATACAAACTAATTAAGCTCACAACTATGAATTAACACATGTCAATCTGCCTCCACCAAGCTACGGTAAACTAATATCTACTATAAAGGAAGGAGAATGAAATGAGCATCCAAGTCCTCGAACTGCTTAATACAAGCTTACCAGTGTATCTCCGTTGCCTCCACCGCTAGCATCGAGAGAGCCGTGCCAACGGCCATTAAATTCCGCTAAACCAGGAAGGTTAATATCTTCAAGAATATTTTCATCCATCGAATTATAGTGGTTCTGTATTGCCTGAAAATTCAAAGCCATAATCATTCAGTTAGCGAATCAAAATAATCATTTAGTTAAATATAAGAACGCTAGTCCACAGACAATTCCATTTCAATTTTTGCGCTGGTTGGATGTGCTCCAGAGAATAAAACATCAGCACTTCCCACCACAAATGGTACAGAAAAAGAAAAAACATTTATTCTTCAAATACCTCAAGCTGGTTTCGGAGGCTCTCAGCATAAAACCCAATGGACTGCAAACTTTCCATGAAAAGGTCCTGCAGAAGTATACAAGAAAACATGTATCGGAACTTACAGAAGAGGATAATTTGAATTTCAAAACACAAATCATACACAAATGGCCTGTATCAAGCAGCTCATGCTAACTAAAAATTGATAAGATATTATATTTCAACTTCTAGAAGGGGCTAGTGCGACCAGAATCTCGGGTTATATTTACAAGATGGAGCTATGCAATGACTAGAGTTCCGCCAGGTATGAAAGCAGGAGATTTTAATAGCTTACCAAACAATTATACTGATGCTATGATTTTATATCCAAAGACAAATATAGGACTTATATATTGAGATGGAAGAAAATAGTGTATGCCTGCTCATGAGCTTGTCCTGTTCGTGTGCTTGTACAGTTGTATGTGTAAGAACTAAGAAATATAGAAATGAAGCAGCCAGTATATAATAAAATGTGTGCGTTCACACGCCTGCAAGTGGAAAATGAGTATGAGATAGCAGCTTCTTTTACGAAATGAGATACCAAAGATGCACTAATAGTGAGGGCCACCCTGCTAGTCCCACTGGTTGGGTAGTTTCACCATTTTTTATCCCTTGACTGCTCATTTAACAAAATGAGCTGCCACCTCTAATCAATTAACCCACCATCCACCCACCAATGCCCATACACACAAAAGAACGCATGCATGGGCACGCACAGGAAGAAATGGGTTTGAGGTGGCATCTCCTTTTGCTAAGTGAACTACCAAGAGATAGACATGCGTTGAGGCACCTTACAAGTCACATCGCATGAGTGGACCTCAACACCTTTATCTCTTGGTAGCTCATTTAGAAAAATGAGCTGCCACCTCACAACCATCATGAGATCAAGCTCATCGGGTGAGCATGCAGGCAGGCAGGCGCGCACGCACACAAACACCCAAACATGCACGCACGCACGCACGCACGCATACATATGGACAAGCACAAAATTTTGCTACATAGTAATAGATAATTTGATTAATAACTAAAGGTAACATTCGGAACATTTTAGTAATGTTAGATAGGCAATAGATTAACATGGTTCTTCATTTTTTAAACATACACTAGATTTATGACATCTGATGTAAGCTACAATCCCATAAATATTCCTGAAAACATATTTATTCATGAAGATATTAGTTTCACATGCAAAACAAAAGGAAATCACATTCCGGTGTATGAAATATCTAACAGAGTCTGTTATTTGTAAGGACTCATATGAGCTTGCATTGTGAAATAAGTTGTTAAAACTATGGTACGAAATTGACAACAGGTTTGCTAACTGACCAGCATGTGTGAAAGGAATAACTCGAGTCATGTCAGATACATGGACTACTCTAAACACAAGCTAAATTTCTATAAAAAGATAAGTTGGTTGCTCTGTGTAGCGTTGCTCCCTGTAGCGTCTTAAGACAGAAAAATGGAAATAGAGGCAAACATACCCATGATTTTGGAGGGACATTGAAAATAGACCAAACACGACTTTATGAGATTACAAAGTTTGAAGCTTGGAAACTCAGAAAAGCCATTAAAAAGAGGCATAGTAGCCTTCAAAAATAGATTATTGAAACTCTGTAACCCAGTTCCCCATGAAATGGTATCTGACAAAGATAAACTGCAGGTCCACAATCATAAATCCTTCAAATTATTAGAAAGTAGAATACTCAAATGAAACCCACAGAGAGAGAGAGAGAGAGATTTAATTACTACTTGAGGAGAAACAGCTATAATAACAATTTGTTAAAACTCGTGTGGAAAGACGAATTTTAAACAAAAACAAAACTACATGATTTTCAATCATGCTAACCACTTAGCATTGCTTAATATATGGATATCATGTTTCTTTCTTTCCTTTTTTTTTTTTTTTTGGGGGGCTATTCCACACATTCAAGGTATTGTGAACATATTTACCCTAATCAACGCATAATCATTCTATTACAAGAGATGGTTTCAAAGTAATATAATTCTACCAAGTAAAGAATGCCAGTGTCTGAGCTTTCCAGCGAGATAGACCATCAATGTTTGTTCTCCTCAGTGCTGCATATATTTATAATACAATGGGAAAACAGTGAAGTCATAAGTTACCTTGGATCTAGACCGAACATCGGGATCGGTACTTCGAGAAAGAAGCCTAGCAAGGGGAAGCATTTCAGCAACTTCAGCACTGGGAACTTCAAGCCTGAGTCGCCATCTTCCCATTGAAGAGATTATACTACTAAGCTGCCCTGCCATTGCGTTTTGAAACAAACCATCCCTCTTCATATCAGCAGAATATCTATCGCGTATTCCAGGTAATACATATTCCCCTTGAAGCTCGTAACGACTGCTAGATTGCTCAAGAACAGTTTTTTCAACAGTGATCTGATGATCCCAAACACAACTTAATCTATTAGCTAAGGTTAATTAAAATGAAGTTTCTACACAGTGTCCACAAAAGAACTAAAAGAAACTATGATATTAAAAGATCAGAAAAGAAGACTTAATCAAAGAAATATGTTTTTCTAATAATAAACTCTGCTTAAATAAAATCACAAGCTAGTTCTAGGCATGCTGGTGCTGGCTTTGAGCCCCTGGGTGTGTGCCTAACCAAATGGCTTGAAAGGTGTAGCAGTTAAGTGGTGCAAAGAGAGCTTTTACCAACTGAAAAATACTCAGGTAGACATATTTAACTTCCATGTGTCCACGGTGTTAAAATAGGTGGCCTGGAATTTTCAGCACCACTAACGTGTCAATGCTACCTGACAATATAGTCCTAAATCGGTAAATCCCACAGAGTTAGTTCTTCAACAAAACTCCATTCTAAAACTCTTCCACATCAAAAAATGGTAGCTTGATCTATCATGGTTAGAAAATCAGTTTGCATCATTTACTTAATTGAAGAAGTAGCAGCTCAGCAATCATTACCGTTTGAATAATTTAAGTACCAAACACTTGACTGTTGGCTTAATGTAGATATCTGTCCATTGAGTGGTGAACTTTCAAGAATATGCATTCAATACAGCATAGAAGTACAGGGGAAGCAAATTAGCACTGAACGCAACATGTTTCTCAAAAATAGATCAAAATAATATTTATGAATGTCAAAATAAATTACATATATACAAGGACAATCAAGTATTTAAGACCCTGCTTGGTGTTCACTTAGAAAAAAGTTGCGCTCAAGGCTTCGAGCAATTATTTATTTCAAGCCCACCTCTGATATTTCATGGTAATGAGTTGATACTGGTACGACCATTATACATCCACAGAAAAGACCTATAATTACACTAACTAAATGGAAAAAAAGAAAATTCTTAGAGAGGAGTAACTCACAACATCCCCACTCCATCGAGCAGACACATCAAGAGCTTCCCCTAGAACACCGCTGAATTTTGGGCGAAGAACTGACAACAATCCATGACCCCTCCGTTTTGGAAAGTTAAGCTGGAGCTCTGCCTGGTTTACAAATATTAAACCGAGTAAGGAGTTAAAGTAAAAACATCAGTAAACAAATTAAAAAATTCAATGGCCTAAGCAATCATTATTAGATGACTCATATTCACAACTAGTATCCCGGGCTAAGCAAATCATCTATACAATCTTTAACAAAATTTGAAATAGTAGGTAAACACTATGGCAATGCAAATTATCCTTCTAAAGTTACTGGAACATTTTGTGAACCCATATTTCCTCATATATTTTGACAATTTTCGCAATTCAATTTTCCTCTTCCGCTTTCTTGCTCAAATGAGAAATATGATCGCCGTTGCTTTCTTCCATATTATACGTGAATTTACTTGACCCTTGCAATCAAAAAGTTTTGGATCCTAATTATGACACAATGTTCTGAAATAAAACCATCAAATTTACGTGCATACGTACGTAAGTACATACATATATAAACAAGTCGCAGATCAAATTACAAAATGAATACTTGGATATCTCACCTTCTGAATAGTGCCTCGTAATGATGCAAGCTCCAGTTCATCAAGAGGTAAATTTCGTACCTTTTAACATCACACAGATTACTATGAGATTCAATTTTATGCAATATCCATTCAAGTGAACATTTGAACGGCCCATGATGTATAAACTATTAATAGACTCAGACAAAAAAAAAACATCCCAGAAGTAGTAGAGCAGGCACCTCAAGATGAACTGAATGTTGAGGTTGATAACAAACATTAGCTCTTAGTTGACCCTTATGAAGAGATATAGATATCAGTCTCTTGTTTTCCGAGGTTTCTTCTGTGCTAAGCCATAATGGACGGATGACCTCCATCGACAAATTTTCATCAGGCCTGCCTTTAGTATTCAGCTGATAAATAAAAAAGAATCAATAAATTAACAATATAATTATAATATAATATAATAGCACAATAAATAGATAAAAGTGAAATGGTTAAATCTGATAATTTGTAGTGCATTGTCAATTTTAATTACTTGGATAGGGAACTTACTATTAATGTTTCCCTAAGAATATCGTAACCGATAACATTGTCTTATCTACTGATATCCAGCACCGGAGAAAGGTTCTTCGTTGGATAGTGTTTATCAGGTCTCATAGACCGGGCAAAGCTCCTTCAAAAATTAACAAATCTATCTAGCATTTACAAAGGTTTTCTATCGCTTATGTTTCTTCGAAGGTAAAAACTGTTTATCTAGTATCAGTCACAGTATTAATACTGGATAAAAAAATCTACCATCACTTAGAATGATATGGCTATTAATAAACCCCTGAAGACTGCATACTATCTATTAAATAGAACAGTCAGCTGTTAAAATGAAAGTTTCATTTTGGATTCCAAATTAATAGTAAAATGAACTTCAAGATTAATGGAAACTTCTTCTTCCATACTAAAGCTTCTATGGTGAGATGTGAGAAGCAGCTAGCCAATCATCATTAAAAAAATGAAATGTCCCCAAAAAACAGAGGTAAAATGTGACTAAGCTAGTACTTCAGATTGAGATATCTCTGCAATCATCATTAAAAAAAGGAAAAAACACATGGAGAGTATCAAATAACCAGTTTACCTAATAATTAAGTTGATGGGTTGTGAACCAAGAACACATATCATGCAATAGTAACACTGCACAAACGGGCCAAATGAAGAGATTGGAAAGCAAAAATAAGTGGTGTAATAAATTCTTAATTGCCAATCAAGAAGCCTGAACCCAACATTTGTTGGAATCAATGTGCAGGTATCATGCAAAACAACTAACTCTCTCAACAGTTTACCTAAGAACCTGGATGGCCTACAAGACCATCTTAATATCCTTGCCACAATTTAAACCTCACGGTTTTCCATCTTCTGTCCTTGCCACTTGAGTGAAACTCCAAAATCATGGTCAAGGTGTTGGGATATAGTTTTATCGTTTTAGCACGGCATATTACTATGTAACTGATTAGAAGTCTTTATCCTATCTTCAGCCTTGAAGATGTCAGGGTTCACTAGTTAAGACAACACACACAAAAGATTTATAATGTAGAAGTCATTCCTCAAATACGTCTGTAATGACACTATGATAGAGGAAAGATACAACATATTATTGTGAAAATTCCACTGACAAGGAAACTAACAGATAGTGGGTATACGTTAATAAAGTTGGAAATGTTTACAAGAAAAGCAGACCGTCATACCTTTATAGTGTCATGGGAAATACACAGAGAACCAGCCAATTGTGGTGCCAACAGAAGTTGGTTGAGTTTGATTCCTGATAAGGAAAGCTCTCCAGAAAGAGTTTCTTTATCATTAACAGTCACCTGAATATCTTCTAGATCTTTCTCAAATCCAATTATCTTGTCATTAATATTCCTTGTAGGTTTTACAATTTTTCCTTGAAACTTAATCCGTCCAGTTGCCTTCAGATGCAAAGGTCTTGCTGAATCTAACGGAATGGAAGAAACTAAACTTCCAAACTCAAATCCTCGCATACGTAGATCCAAATCAATTCCCTGAATGATAAGGGGCACAGTTTTCCTAAAATCTATAAGTTGTTTCTGTTGGCAATAATCATCAGGATAAGATGTCTGAATCTTAGTATACAAGTCGAAACCAATCGATGATGAAGTGATTGTGACGTACTCATGTGAGATAATGATATCCCCACGTGCATCACTGAATGAATCTTCAGCATTTGGGGCAGCCCACTTTATATCAAATCTCCTGAAGAAAGTAGTAATTAGTGGTCCAAAATGGACAAAGAAAAAAATTCAGGTCCACAGGAACAAACAATAAAAATCAACACCGATGTAACAGCATGCAAAACTAGATACATACACATTACAAATTGAGAACTTACGGTCTTAAAAGGGATCCAGATAATTTGGTCTCTCCATTTAACTCCCCAATTTTAAGTGGCATCAGTTGAATACCTTCCGCTAAGTATCTACGTAAGACTTTGTCAAACGGAAACTTTCCTGACAAGTTTACATCCATGGCGGTATCATCCACCTCCCCCTATCAAATGTCAAAGCAAGCTCTAAGATAAACAGGTGATACAAGCAAGCATCACAGATACGTGCATAAAGACATAGATATACATGTATTTGGTTAGCTCATTTAGTACCACCTAATACCCATTTTACACATGCACACATATGTATGGAAATAATAGGTAGAAGGTGGCAACTCACTTTGGTAAGTAAACTATGTGGAGAGACCTACCTCGCTAGTCACATCATATGGATGGGTCCCACCAACCTTTATCTCTTCATAGTTTATTTAACAAAATGATCTGTCACCTCATAACCATAACCAAAAACCCCACACGCACATGAGCGTTCATGCGCATGCACAGACTCACATGAAGGTCATGTGCGGGTATCAAATAATACATTTTCTGAAGAATGCAAATTATTATGATCATAAGAAGAGGAATTTTCATGCAGTTTGTAACCTATTCCAGTTATTCTGCTAGAAAGGGTTGTCCTTAAAATATATATCCTCCACTAGTGTCAACACTGAGCTTATTCTGGTTTAGGAAGAATTACTCGTAAAACCATGGGTTAAATAGGTGACGAGTGACCTCCTTACAAGTAGAACCATGGAAACAATTGATCTAATTCTAGAATTTCATCTCATAAGGCCAAACTGACCAAGCTGACCTGCCAAGACAACATGTATCATCTAGTTATCCAATTGCACATAAGGAAGACATGGTTCATCTCATAAACCCCAAACTGACCCGCCAAGACAACATGTATCATCTAGTTATCCAACTGCACGTGCAGATGCACACACGCACATATGCGCACATCACACACCACCAACAAACACACACGTGGTACGAAGAAAAAAAGAGGAGAGCAACCTTTTTCACCCTCCTGCTGAGTGGAATTCAACCGCAAAACCTAGTAAGGAAGTAGCTTTGCTTGCCACCCTGCAAATAACATATGCACAGCACACTCTCTTCAAAAAGCACTATAGAAACAAGACACTTTTCTACCCTCCTTAACTTCAAGTAATGAGAGACCCATTTTGAAACCTATCTATAGACAAGCAAGTCAGGAATCACCATGCTTTTCAGCCCACATTGCCGAAAAAGAATTTCCTGGCAGGTATATGGAATGCATGTCCATAGGACTATCATTCAGAACCAAATCTACTAACTGCTTATTGGACTTACTACACTGACATTTGGGATCCAAATTTTAGGCCTCTTACATCACTTGTCAGGAGTCAGGACATGACTTCAGTTTGGTTTGGAACTATATAATAGTCTTAAAAAGTGCATCAGGAGTGGATAAAACTCAAAACCGTGAAAAAATATTAGAGCATAAAAGAGTAATAATTCTAAGCATCTCCAGGCTCTCAAAATTTTTCCAAGAATGGCATGATGCAATTCATTTGCTGATGAACCACACCTCTGGGCAAATCCATGCATTTCCAGCCCCACGAATTTCTCCACCATCTAGTAGGTTTGCTCTAATGCCATAAAGATCAGCTACCTGTAGCAGAAATATCAAATCAAATAAATGGAATCACCACAGGCAAAGTTAAGCTCTTCAATGTAAGCAACTGGTTCAGCAAACTTATACTATGTAGATGTTACTTACACAATTATCAAGGTTAAATGTAAAATTAGCCGATACATGTGAAAATGGAATACGGTCAAAAGCAGCCACAGCTCCTGCCTCTTTATTATTAATTACAGCTTCAGATGCGCATGATGGAGGTAAAGGTGATATCAAATGAGAATTTTTCCTAGTTACAACTCCACTTCCCACAAATAAAGGCGCATCCAGAGGACCTTGACAGTTAAAAACAGCAGTTAATGAGCCAGCAACCTGCAGTAGGAAATAGGAAACTGAAACTTTGCGGAAATGACTTATAAAATGAAGAATATATAACTCATTGCATGCTATGCAAAAGCTTACACAAAAAACAAGAATGATAAGCCACTGGCCAAGTAGCAATAGTGATATGCATTCCTCTACTCTCTAAAATCTGATCGTTAAATTCAGACAACTTTAATGTGAAATGTGCAGAGAAATAGTATAGAAGCCATATTAGCATCTTGAAAGAGCACATAGAGACAAAACTTAACCTTACTATACTTCAAATGTTAAGCATGTTAGAGGTCATTAAATATTACTAGGAAAAAAGAACATCAAGGCCATATGCTAATACTTCACAGATGGCTGACTAGAGCACTTACCATTTTGCACATACTGTGTTGAGAAAGTAACGTAATCCCACAGAAGTCAGAATAAACAAACAGACAACAATTGCCTAACCTACCGTAACAGAACAATATAAGACATATACAAACTTAGCTTTATAGAAGTCAATACTTATAGACTTTTCCATTATAGTTTTTGGGAGTATAAATGAAAATAAATAGATATCCCAAACATGTAACAAAGAATAAAGAAGTGCATGTGAAGTGTATGATACATCTCCACGAGGTGTATGATGTGTGTTTCCAATTAAATATGTACCATATGACTTAGGACTGAAGACGCATTTGAAAAGTGTATGCACATGTACAAGGAGTGCCCAAGGAAGTATCAGTGTCCGCCTGTCCGGTACGTATGTCGTAGTGTCAGACATAACAATTTCATGTAGAAGTGCCTGTGTTACATTGAAGAGATGCAATGGGAGCTTCAGGCTACATCATTGCAGACCTAACTGGTTTTAGAAGTAACTTTCGCTAGCCACATGAAGGTGTGCTATTTGATGAATAAATCAAACAAATTAATCTAAAAATTTTCAGAATAATAAATCTGATAGTTATGCCTATGGTAAAGATACAGAATTTCTGCATTGAAACAGAAAATTAAGGATAATTTACCTCAATAAGAGTAATTAGTACAATAGGCCATTTAGAGTTACTTACCATATATGCACCTAACACATTTTCAGTAGGTTCCTACCAGATCCAGATTCAAACTTAAAAAGCTAACTTAAACCATCATTTGATCTTCTTTCCTGGCCTACAAGATTTACCATCTCATTTGGGCTGGAGATTATAAAGTGATTAAATTTCTTTTTATTGTACTATTGAAGAAAATCTGCTTCTGAAAGAATTGAGAACTGGCGATCAACTTTTGTAAGTATGTAACAAAACGACTGAGATTAGAATATTCTGATTTCCTGGAAGAGATTGTAGCCTTCTTCTTATTTTGGAATGCATGACGCAATCTTGGTTGTGAAATCCTAGTTTTATGAGACATGAAACTTCAAAAGAAGTATGAAGCACCTTCCTTTATCCTTCTTTATTCTCTCTAATTTCTTCTAAGAAGCCCTAAATAGCTTGGAACCATCGATAAATTACTTGGTTAACAACGGATCAAAGCTCCAAAATTCTTAATATGAAAAGAATGCTAAAAGATGGAAAGATCTTCATGAACAAGCTAAGGCGTGCATAAAAACATTGAAAGTTATTATATTTAGATGTCAAAACCATGAATGAAATATTCACATAAAACAATAGCCGTAAAAGAACTTCGCATGAAACAGAAGACGAATGTCCCCAGATATTCAAAAGTGCCCAGTTATGAATAAAACCATTTATTGTCTGAATTCAGTGCAAAGAGTAGCAAAAGGAATTCTGAGGCATAGTACTAAATCTTTTTCAGGAAAGACGAGGAAACTTAAGGAGGTTACATACCGGAAACATTAAGGGTCTCATTTTTAAAGTCTTCATTAGAGCATTAGCCTCAACACAAGGAACCTGGAAAAACAAGCATGAGCATGTAGAGGAAATTAAATATCCAGAGAATAGAAGACTACTCATTGGTTGTTTCTGACTGATGACAACAGGAAGTTCCTCAAGTCATTTAGAAATAATACTGATAATATTATATGTGATACCCGACACATCAGATGAAACTCCCCATCCTCAGGATTTATGCCGAAGTCACCAGAAGCTTCCAAAGGAGCATCACCAAACCAGCCACTTGTGTTGTGCAGGAATACCCGTTGACCACGAAAACATAGAATAGCTGATACTCTCTGCACTCAAGCATACATATTTATTAACCGAGACTACGGATAAAATCCACTTACTTTTCAATAAGAACAGATAAATCATGTCAAAGAAGATGGAAACAAAAAAATTGAATATGCCCAAATGAGAATAGTTCTTGCAAGAATAGTTCCACAATTTCACCTATTTAGGGTTTAGGGTTTATAAACCTACCGAAAATTGAGAAGGAGCATCTTCTATGTGAAAAGATAACCCACTAACATCTAGTTGGCCATGAAGATTAGGAAAAGTATCTCCTTTTGACATGCAGATGTGCACCTGACAGCGGAAAGGATTAGGCAAAAACATTTTGTACCAATAGCAATAACAGGAAACTTGCATCACGTATATTTACGAGATCAACATACCATATCGTAGTATACTCTAACAAGAAGGTAAAATAAAATTAATTAATAACTAAATAAAGAAGAAAAGCGGAAACCCTAACAATCACAGAACATCTGGCATTGGGATGTGGCAGAAAGCTTAAAAAACTCATTGAAAAACCAACCTTGGAAATTCATCAACTCACACGCTATAAAAATGGCATCCCACAAAGTCCCACAGCAATACACTTAATTCCGAAAAATCAAGCAAGAACATGCAAACACTTAGATAGTAGATACAAACCGTGTTTTGCAAGTAATGTAGATGCAGTTATGGAAATCTTTGGATATTCACTAGTGGATGTTAATGAATGGATCCCTGCTTCTTGACAAGGGGAGCCAGCTCCCTTTGAACTTTACGCAATGCATGAATGTCCAATTTTACTACCTCAGCTTATTATCCGAGAAATATAATTGTTATGCAATGGCATGAATGTCTGATTGCTCTTAGATATCATGCTAACACCCTTGGATATAATATAGATCTACCAATTTAGTTAAGGTCTCATATGGTCAGTATGTCATAGTTGAACAAAAAAATGAAAGATACTTCACACACTTGCAGCACAGTGAAGAAGACCAGCAAGGGTAATAGATTTTAGAGGTCAACTAAGGAATTATGTAGAGATACGAACATACCAGTTGGAAGCCATGGTGTGGATTTTTCTTTTTTTTTCTTTTTCTTTTTCTTTTTTTTTTTTTGGGGGGGGGGGCGCTTTTGCAAAACTTATTGGAAGTTTAGTGTGATTTTGAAAGTAATTGGTGGATTCCAACAAAATGCTGGAAATTCTTGCGGGTTTAGTCTAATTTACTTACTAATAAATATGGTTTTTTTTTTTTTTTTTTTTTTTTTTTTTTTTTTTTTTTGGGGGGGGGGGCAAAACATCCCCAAACAAACCATATAGAATATTTTGAGTTTGGTGTTTTGAGTTTAAAGGGTTTTAATATAATATCTAATATTATATTTTAATAATTATTTATATAATATATTAGAATATAATATAGTGGCCTATAATATATTATACGATAACATAATACAATATATTATATTACAATATAATATAATATAACATAACATAGTTTAATATAATATAAAACACAAGAATATAACATAAGTCTTAGAAGTTGGATCATAGATGATAAAAAAATTGTTTAAAATTTTAAATTTTGTACAACCTTACTAAAGGAACTATTTTTAAACCTTATATGCTCAAAAATGGGTTAACTGGTTTAACCATTTAATCCTTTTTGTTAATCTCTCGTCCTTAAGCCTTAGCCAAAAGAGCCCTTATGAAATAGACTCCATTGTCTAGTGAATATAAAAAAGAAGAACAATCACATTGAAACAGCATTTAGAAAATGTTTACCTGAGACTACTCCTCTTGTCACAACAAAACCTTTCTGAGAACTTGCACATGTACTATAAGACCTGATTTTCTACGTCTTAGACAAATTCAAGTGCCTGCCCTTAATCCTATGGCACCCTCAACTTACTTTAAAACATTTACCTTTTCAATTAACTGGTTAACTCCTAAATTTCCTTCACACAATCATTCCTCATGTTATCCTACATAATTTAAAATAAATACATCTTAACATTTTCAACTCCGTGCGTCCTATTTATTAGGCCCTTTGCATTTATGGCATTCAGAACAAACCATAGGTGATCTATGACCTTGATAAATAATACAATAACGTTTTGCAACTAGTTGCAAATGGAACAAGCTACATGCCGGCAGTTCAAACTGTCAACATAAGGAAAAGAAAAGGAAAAGTAAGATAGTAGTGATGACAAAAATTCCTTTATTGCATAATGAAGGTCAAACCAGCCAATTGATCATAGTGCAACATTTGGTGTCTCGTATCTCAAGTACACACATACTAACCACAGGACAATGTAAGCAAGTAGGATGAATGGAAGAAGACGAAACAGAAGTAACCTATAACTAAGTGGTTAAATATTCTGTTATAATGCAAGTAGATATCTTTCATGTTACTTAGAAGTCAATGTGCAGCAAATTAACATTTCAACCTATTCCCTTTGAACCTTATATTATTTGCTAAACTACTCATCAGCACAACTGCACAAGTCACTTATTCCTATAAAATTAGGTTCAGCTCCTATACGAATTATAATTAAACGATATAAGGGAAAACATATTGGTAAGATAAGCACCTCACCACTAGCTCTACCTGTGACCCATGTGATTGGAATTTCTAGGATCTTCTCAAACAACTGCACACAGGTATTTAAATGTCAGACGGAACTAGAACAATAAAAATGCCTTTAAACAGCATCAACCGAAACCCACTAGTTACCATACCGGAGCAAAAAGGTTTAAGATTTTCAAATTGACATGCCATTCTTGCTTAATGGTGTCAACAAAAACATCTGTGGACAGTTGCCCTCCATTCTCAGAAGTAGAATTCATCCTCCATTCCATGCAGTCCCCACTCAACTGGACATGTACACGGCTGTAGTGGTTTTGAAACCTCACATACCCATTGACATTCAGCATCTCTCTACAACATGTGCACATAGTTCAGCGGACTTTATTTTTTGCGGAAAATATAATGTTATACGAAACCATCAAATGCAGTGCGAGGTATGTTAGGTAGAAATTGCAATATCATGTGAAACATCTTTTTATTAAGCCTAATGTTCAGGATAAAAAACCATCAGAAGATATCCTCAAGTGAACTTTATATAACAAAGATGATGAGTGGCTTCCTGCTGTATGAAGAATGGAGATATCGTCTGTGTCGAAGAAAGAGAATAGTAAATACGAAACCCAACCCAAGTGGCAGATTTATGACATAAGCACGCTCATGCCAAATACACCAGTATACAATGATTTGAGGACGCGGTTCTCACAGCAGAACACAACTGCTGTATAGGACAAATGTATGTAACATGATGACATCTTTCTATCAACTCCTTTCCAATATAATGTGGGATTGTTAACCAATAAAGAATTCAGAATTGCTAGTCAACAACTCCTGGAGATAAATGCCATAGCTTGTCTCCAAGTTATTTGGTAATTGGAAGCGCTACAGAAAGCGGTCAATGAGTGACATCATTTTAGCCATCCCTAAGGATTTCAGTTAACATAGGTCACTCAAAATGGATGTATGTCACTCTTAAACCCATCTAAGCTACGATCCATATGCCTTTAAAATGCAATAAATAAGAATTTCACCGTGCATGTAGTTAAGTCATACTTATGCTCCCTCCAATACTCAATCATAAACAGGGTCCAACTTTCTTCGTCATTTTCTAAAACATTGACAAGATGTCAAGATTTACAAATATCTTGGTTTTCCACTGGTATTAAGCTAAGGTAATTGTTAGCAACTGGAGTTACTCCAAAAGAACTTAATGCTACCAATTACAGTGACTCCAAAAGGACCTATTGTTCTCTGTATTCTTTTTTCTTTTTTCTCTGTAGACCTAGATTTTTTTCCAAGGTTATTGACAACAGATAGCATCGTGTAGCGGTGAGGCACCGCTAAATCTACTTGAGGCTTTAGCGGCAAAAAATAAAGTCAAACAACGATCCAATTTAAACATGCATAAATATTCAAAAAAAAAGAAAAATTAAAGAAAAATCTAAAAATTCTGCAAATGCATATTTAATGATTTATAGAGATCCTGAAGAGGAAGAGGACTTGGTGAGCTTCGAGTTGGCGGAGGCGGTAAAGAAGTAGGAGAGGCAAATAGAGAGAGGGGTTTTGGAGTTGAGGTAAATAGTCAGAAAGGGAGAGGTAGGGGTTGGGAGGAAGGCAGTCGAAGAAGGTTTTTTGGGTTTGAAGTATTGTAGTCAAAGAGGGAAAGTTAGAGGTTGAGGTGGAGTAGTCGGAGAGGGAGAGGAGAAGGAGGAGGGTTGCCCGCGACAAAGTTGGTGGAGGAAGAGAAGGGACGGCAGAGTCAGTAGGAATTGTGGGATTAGGGGTTTTTTCCCTTCATCATTTAAAATCAAATTGGAGAGGAGAGAGAGAGAGAGAGAGAGAGAGAGAGAAACAAAACTGAGGAGGTTTTAGTTAATCAAGAGTCGGGTTTGAGTCGGATATTAACCTGAGAATCCATAATGAAAAGTGACATTAAGCGCTATTACACGCTAAACACCACTATCGCAATCAAATAGCGCACAGAGCATTATCTTCCACCGTTTTCGTCGATATTATTGTCAGTAGTGGGCGCCAGCGCAATTTGTGGCGCTATAGGGCGCTATTTTCCACAGTGATTCTCTCTATTTCTTACCGATGATTTCATAGACTTAAATTGGCATAACGGGTCCATAAAGCCAACCCCAAGTAGATACAATAAAGGTAGAAGATTTATGAATGTATTACATTTTCTATAGAGCCCGTGTACTTTAAAGCTAATTTCAGGAGACCATACAATCCTTAGTAGTATTCTAGTAACTATAGGTTCTGGGAGATCAACACTTTATTCGTAAGGTCAAGACACTTTAAATTGGCATAAAGGCATTCCCATTCCCCATTAGAAGCAAGATAGATGAGTTAATAAGTGCAGAAATGCAAGAAAATTTAAAATTTAATCAACAAATACCGTAACTGCAGACAAGAAATCTGAAACAGATGAGATAAATGATGATAATGTATTCTTTAAATGAACTTAATAGTAATAGAATCAGTTCCAGTAGTTTAAGAGTCGGACCTGGCCTCCCGATCACCAAATCCCAGTAGCATCAAGGCTCCATCTGTGAAATAAACACAATCCAAAGTGACTGGAAGAACCTTCTCGATCCCCTTGGAGTGATTTTCATCTGCATCTTCAACGAGTTCAGCAGCTATATCCTCAGCTGTTACAGTGAAGGATGATTTAAGCTTCTGTATTCCATCTGATGCTGTTGATTCTTCCATTTTTATAGTTGCTTGAGTTCCAGTATCCACACAACCCCCACCAGAAGAGTCCCGTCCATGCTTACTACATGAATCAGTTGAATTCCCTAAAGTATCAAGCCTTCGGAAATATGCGGCAGCAGCTGCAGCACTTCGGATGAGGTTTCTTTGTTTAGAAGCAAACCCAGACTCGAAAAGCACTTTTTTATGAGCAACTCGTTTAAATTTACGGCTAAGAACATTTGGTACTGCTCCTGACCAAAACTTCAGCCCCTGATAAGGAATTTTCACACCAAACGATTTCTCCAAATCTGCATGCTTTGAGCCATACTCGAGTCCAGTATCCATGCAATGATGATCCCTCACATGCATCTTTTCATCCACACAATACGATAAACCATAACTTTTTGTTGCAGAAGAGTATCTAGAATCATCCGTCAAGACATGTTTTGGATTATGGTTACGAATAATGTACCCAGCCTCTGCAGCCTCTTTTGCTGCTTTGACCCTTTCCATGGCCCATTGAGAAGCCGCCTGCTCTCTTGCTGCCCTTTTGGCTTTTGTGCGAGAATCTATTCCTTCTTCGCTTGAGTGGCGTAGCTTCGTGACACTTTCTGAAGGTACAGGAATTCCTAGCCAAGAAAAATCCTCTTTCTGTGCAACTAGGACAGTAGGCTGAGATAAAATAGCATCGACCACAATCTTCCCTCTCCTTAGACTTGCAAAAGGACGGATGCGAAGTTTCGCGGCAGATACCTCACCACATGAGAACTCCTCCTGATGAGGTCCAATAGAACATGACTGTAGGGTGATTCCAAAAGGTGAAACGCTCTGCACCTTACCAAAATTAATCTCCCTCTGAAGATACTCACTCAATATTGAACACACAGAAGGCAGAAGGCGGGACTCAACAAAGATTTTAGTTTTCCGCTGAGCATACCATACCAACACTCCTACAGCAGAAATCACCGCAATGAAAATAGAGCATCTAAACAAAAGCAAGCCCTCCTTCCAAAATGGTGAGAAAGATCTTATAAAAGCTCTCGTCTTCGGGAAAGATTCATTGGTGCAATAAATTCTAAACCGGCTTCTTGAGTTAAGGTTCCATGATGAAAGATTAACATGTCTGCCACTGATACATGAAAATATAGTCCGGTTACACTGCCTCTGACACACTGGTAGTGAAAAATTGCAGCCAGCTTGAACGCCAGATTTATTGGTGAACGAGGAAGAAGCTTTCTTGCCATGTATTTGATTCCGAGAAACTTGAAGAGCTGATCCCGGAAACGAACTATTCAAGCATGCCCTCATTTTATTCCTTCACAGCACCAAAACACGACCATCTGCAGGGGACCAAGAACCAAATCTCAGTCCCCTATGCCTCAGATTTCAGATGGGATCCACAGCTCTGGAGCTATAAAAAAGATGAGTGGAAAGAAATAGAGTGTTAACTGCATTAAATATTGATAAAATTACACAATGACATCGTGAAAAAATAAGCATGGAGCAGACAGACATTTTCAGGAATATAAGGACAAGAGACACTGGTTCTTGAATATACGTTGTTTCCGTCCAATTTTTACCGAACAGGAGAACATAAGATAGAAGTTAGAAAATTATGAATGGTAGAACTATAGTCTATAGGTACTATCGAAAAAAGGGGGACTAGTGAAGTAAGAAAAACCTTTAGAGAATATAAGAGTTGAAAGAGTCTTAGAAACTGAAAATATTCCTATTGAAGTTTGCTCGTGGACCTACAATGGTTGACGATCCTATTCAAGGAAAATATCCTAGGAGTGGAGGATTAGCACACTCAAGTGTCATTATACAAGAATAAAGGAGATATACAAAGTTATTCTAACAATCGCAATACCAAACTAATAAGACATGCTGCAGAGGTTCGGGAGAGGGCAATTCAGCAAAGACTATAAAGGAGATGACTACCTCTCTGAGAACCAAATTAGTTCTATACCAGAGGGGCCGACTACGGAGCCTATGTGTATATTAAGACGATTGATGGTTTGCATTGATCCAGAAAAAGCTTATGGTTGCACGTCGAGGGAGATAATGTAGTAGTTTTAGGAAGAAACAAGTATCTACCAAGATAAAAGCTTTCATGTTGTAGTAGTTCCATCCAATTGTAAACACACATACTCGTTGAGGCTTACTCTATTACTTCCTATAACTATAAAAAGTATGGTATCCAAAATCCAAAATATAGTTAGGTAAATAATTAATAATTGAAAATGGACATGATAACAACTACACAACTGCTCTAATTCACTAACAGAAATAAATTCAAGCTTAATCATTTTTCCGAAAGAGAAGTAGTAAATGCACCATGAATGCTACAAGCTAGCTATAACAACAGTTCGGTCGAAACACAGCTGAATTTTGAAAGCAAATACCAGCATTCAGAAATAAATACATCTACTTGAAAGAAACCCAAATTCTGGCATAGAATTAGAGTGTCTCCGCAATTAGAAGGAGAAGATTTTCGCGCGTTCTAGTTCCATTCACTTGTGAACACAAACACCCAAAGGGATAATTTTCAATAATTAATTAATAATTTACGGTGGGCAAGATAATCAGTATACATGGATTCAAATCCACTCACGCAAATTAAAGCTCGTTCGACGGTCAAAAAACAGTTGAGTGCATAAAATTAAGCAAAAGACGTCCTTTTTTGGTTTAATTGTATAATTGAAACTGAGCACTAAAGCCAAAAAAAAATCTAGCAAAAATTGGCGCAAGATGACTACAACGGTAATTCAGTCGAACATACAGAAGGACATACGCGTTCTTGAAGAAGAAGAAGAAGAAAAACCCTAGTTTTGCATACAGATTTGGAGTGGAGCGCAGCACAAGTAATCATTTGTATCCGCCGAAAAAGCAAACAGATGCTTTTCACAGAGAGAGAGAGAGATTGAGGAAAAAGAAGGAAAAACTTACATTTTTGGGGGTGAAATTGGAATCGAATACCATCATGAGGACATGGCGCCCGTTAGTTCTCTCTCGATTTTGATCAGTCGAGAATCCTGATGCTTGTGGGCTTTGGGTTTCCACCAATAACACAATTGGTTTAGGTAGTTTTCATATATACCCCTCAAGTTCTTTACGTATTTCAGAATTGGGTTTTCTCCCCCACTAACCCCAACATCTACCTATTTGCGGACAAATTTTTAAAACCAACCCATTTGATAAACTAATTGCAAAAAACGACCCGTTTCAGATTTATTTAGAGAAACCGACCTGGTTTCAGCACTGTCGCTGAAACCAGGTCGGTTTTTCTAAAAAACTTTACGAAACTTCACGGGAGTTGAACTCCCGTAAATTTTTTTCTCATAACAAAACTTCACGGGAGTTGAACTCCCATGAAGTTTCGGAAACTTTTTTTCAAAAACCGACCTGGTTTAGCGCTGAGGCTGAAACCGGGTCGGTTTTTGCAAATAAAACTGAAATGGGCCTTTTTTTGGGAATAGTTTATCAAATGGGTTGGTTTTGAAAATTTGTCCACCTATTTGTAGATCTATCCCTCTCGACTGCATTCTCCCGCGCTGAATTTTATACCCCTCCTATGTTTTTTTTTCTGGTAGTGAATATTATGGGTATATGCGTTGAATTTTTTTCTTGTCAAAATGATGGATTTTTTTGAAATATGACCAGTATGCCCTTAATTAACTTAATTAATTGATGATTAGTGATTTAGAGGGACAAAGAGGGCCGACAAAAGTTATTGTTGTTTACGTGTTTGTCTAGATTTTAAGTTTGGCACAAGACACTTACATGTTAATCGATTCTAAAATGTCATATAAGAAGATTTAAGTGGAAACCTTCATATTTGAATGATAAGAGGAAAGTAACATGCTAATTTTAGAAAATTTAGGATATATATATATGAGTACTGCAAAAGTACAAGAGGAGTACGAGTGGAAATGAACCAAATAATTAACAAATAGTTCGATAATTGTTCGAGTAATTATTCGGTTATATTCGATTCGGTAGTTAATTTGCCACTAAATAAATATTTTTTAGTATACGATTTTACTAACGAATAAAATTTGAGCTTTGCTACATGGACCCAAAATATGGCACCAATAAAGGGGACAAGTGAGGTGTCCCCCTCCTATTGGATAATGAGTTGGCCATCATTAATGATGGCCAATTCATTATCCAATAGGAGGGGAACACCTCACTTGTCCCCTTTATTGGTCCCATATTTTGGGTCCTTAAAGAAATTTTCATAAAATTTAACTATATGTATATTTGACTCGTTCGTCTATCAAATATTCTTTTACAATTTGATCACTTATTATTTGTATTATTGCACATATAATGTCATATTTTTGACCCACTTACCGTTTCTACTTAAATTTTGTGTACTGCTTTTAAGACTTAAATAATTTTAAATATGTTATCTAATAAAAAATTTGATTTATATATGAATTTAAATACTCATATATTATAAAGGAATAATTTTTTATGAATTTAAATACTATTTGAAAATTAATTTTTTTAACGGAATAAATATACTTTGATATTCGATAAGTATTCATGAATATTCATGAATATTTATCAAATACCAAGTAATTGAGTTCGAATTCAGAAAACTCCATATACGAATATTAGAGTCCGCATTCGTATTCAATAATTTTAAAGAAATATAAATACGAACACGAACACATTAGTATTCTATTTGATTCGATCGTTCACCACCCCTAAAGAGGAGGTGTATAAGTGCGAAGTGAATGAAACTATAAGGCGCTAAAGTGCTATATATCCTATCCAGTCGGGAAAAAAATGTGACCTTTTCGCTTTTCTAATCGCGATATTTTGAGAATAATGATGTGGGCATCATCTTCGCCCTTTTCTCTTGCCCCAGCCTTAAAACCTACCCTTCGCTTTTCCCCAAATCGCCGTCCCTTCTCAGATTCCAATCTCAGACCCTCTGCGAGATTCAATTTTAGAAGTTCAGTACAGTGTGTCAGCAGCAGAACACCTGGTCCTGATTCAGGTATCATAAATAAACTCTTATCCTCATCGAGCCATTAATTTATTTATTTTTTGATTGATTTCTCCAAGCATTGAGGGTTTTGATTTCTGGGTTTTGTCCAAATTGTGCTTAAATGGGGGCATTTGCAGGTAATTGGACCCTAAAACATGAAATCAAAAGTTATCGTGAGGAACAAAATAGAAAGCTGTGTTATTTTTATCTAGCTCAATTCAATTATTGATTTTTTTTTTGGGTGTATATACTCCTGTTCCTTTGACCAATTATTGTTTTTTGATCAATTTATGCAATTATTGGGGGTTCTGATAATTGTTTGAGGGATAAAATGGGCAATTATGTTCAATTTCTCTAGCTCAAAGTGAATCTCATGTGCTTTTGAGCCTGAAAGCTTCGAACTTTACCTGCTTAAGTTGCTACTGTGTTTCATATGGGGCCTAAATTTTTATTTTTCTTTCATTTTTTTCCGCTGACTATTGGTAACTGTTTAGAATGCACTTTTATTTGGTGAGATTTTGCGGAAGCAGTAAAGAAACTACATAATGTAGCTCTTCTTCCAGGACATATCCTCATGCATATTTCGATTCAAGCAGTGCAAATTACCTTTAAAGCCATTCTATGTTTTAGTGGAATTTGAGCCTTCTTACAATAGAATGGCAATGCTAAATTAGTAGGCTCTGAATGTTAAATAGGTGAGAATGAGAATAAAGTTGTCTTGGATGCATTTTTTTTGGGCAAGGCTTTTGCCGAAGCGGTGAATGAGCGAATAGGTTCCGCCGTCGGGGAAATCTTAAGTGTGGTTGGTCAGTATCAAGCTGAGCAGCAGAAGCAAGTACGAGATTTTCAGGTAAAAACAATCACAAATGTTTCACATACATAGCTTATATAGTTGTATACCTGCTGTTCATTTTGATAATCACATGGTCTTTCTTCAATCCTTCTATGGCTAATATGTATGATAATTTTTTTTTTCTGGAAACCTTCAAGACTAATATGAAGTAATAAAATGAAGAAGTATGAACACAGTAATTTTTTTTCCTGTTGAAATAGTTTCCTACGTGCTGGTTCTCTCCCTTAACATAACTGTAAAGTAAACTACTATTCTATACGGTTTACATTAGCATTAACATGATAAAGAGGAAACATGATGCCGCTAAGGTCTCACCACTTAAATTTTGAGTTTGTGCCAAGTAAAAGTTTTAATTTATTCTCAACAGTGAAATACTAATTAAAAACATATTTTAACTGTTTTAAACTCATGTCTGCTCCGATCTCTGTCAATTTCAACAGACAGTCACAACGAGACAAGCTTATGCTTTTTGTTTGGACTAGTTTCTTGAATAAATCATGTTTTTATTGCAGGAGGAAGTAGTGGAGAGGGCTGAAAGAGCCAAGAAGAAAGCTGCACTGGAGGTCGCAGAGGATCAAGGCCTCACTTCAATACCTTTAGCAATGCCTCCAGGGTCCATAACGCCAATTGCGCCTTCTACCTCAGGTGCTACAACTGAGGACCCTTTTCAAGAGATGCTGAAGGATTAGCTTGAGCCAGGTTATCAGTATGCAATATGTTTCTCTTCTAATACATGATAACAATTTGTATTTTTAGCTTTAGATTTGGGAAGCAAAGGCAATGGTCAACAACTGTTGTATTCAAACGATTTGAGATTGTTCAATTAGAATCAATCCACTTTCTAGACCCTTGTTTGTCTAGGTAATTCTCTGGGCATTTTGGTTGATTTGCAGTTGTTTGGATGGTTGTGGATGTTTGGGAGCGTGCATCTATGCATTTTTCCGATATTGGCTTTTTTCATTTAAATAAATCGCTTACTTGCAGAATTACTTACTGTGTTGAGGGAGTATCCTCTGATGAGTCTAGTACATAAATGAAGGGTACACTTTGTTTATTATTGAGGCATGTTTGGTTGGGTATCTTGTCTAAAATTTACAGCGTGCTGCGTTTGAATAGTGGGTTTGTGTAATTCTCTTATGAGAATGTGATTCTTACCTCAGATACAACAAATGAAATCTTTTAATTTATGGATTTGCTTATGGGTTTTTTTTACATCAACCATTGCATATTTGTTAAAGTTTGATATGCTGAAATTTTCCATTTTTTTGAATCACATGAAGTATATTCCTTTTGTATAAACTTGTGCTCAGTCTAGACACCTTTGGTGTTGTGTCATTTTCATGACAAATGCAGATTTGTCTATGAATATTTCAAATTCAATAAACAATTAGATAATAAAAATACTCATTGATTAGAGCATGTATTTTGAATACTTGAAATAGACCTTTCTAAGAACATAAGATAAGTTTTGATAAGAATAAATATTGGATACAATGAATTTAAATAAGATCTAGCATGATATTGTGATTTCATATAAACAGAAAAATAGGAGAAAAAGAAAATAATAATCACAAACACTAGTTTTGTTTGCGGTCAAGAGAAGCTAAAGAATTGGTTTCTTTACTTTATTATAAAGTTTGTGGACCTGTACTTTTCCGAAAAGACATTTCTTTATAATAAAGTTTGTCAACCTATAATTTTCCGAAAAAGACATTTCTTTGACGGGTTACCAAACACGTAAAAATGTTGGGAAAAACACTTGTTTGCTTTTATACAAAAAAAAAACATGAGCACTTAACTTGAACAACGGCGAGTACACCCAAACACCTTAGTCAGTGCTATAAAATGCTGGTTTTGTTATTAAATAAATTGCGTCTTTTAAAGGTGATTACTTTAAGACAATATTTTCTATGACAATATTTTCAAGATTGTAGAAGCAGGATATCTCCACAAGGGTTGTTACAAAAAGTAAAAGACTTGTTGATGCCAATTTCAACCTCTTGACATTCAGGTGTTTTTTTTTTTATGCGGCAGATGTTGGCGCTTTTCAGACAATATGCGGGAATAGCATAGATAGGAAAAGGCTCAAACAATGTATTTTTTCTATACAAACATGTCCAACATTATGTGCATCCTTAGCCCTAAGTATGTTGACAGGTGCAAGCAAAATAAGTACGTATATCCGAGAGTGAACAGGGGCAGATGCGTTCCTCCACGATGTTCGATGGTGGCCTGACATGCATCTAGGCCACGACAGTCCAGATCATCGAACATTATGTACGCGTTATGTTCCACGTACGTTCGTGGGTACAAACAATATCCAAATTCTACAAGGGTCTGATATATGATTCTACAATATTGGTTTCCATACCATCAACATAGCCTAGATCATACCAATGTATGCGCTGCGTCGGCCGTGCACACACCCGCCAACACAAAAAAAATTCCCATCATTTATGAGTATGATTCACACAGAACTCTCTTCGCTTCGCTATTGCGTAGGCCTCAGCTCAATCCCTTGGATAACCAACCCCCTCTTCCATTGCCCTCCTCCTACCTCCATCATGCTTACATCCACATTCTCCTCCTGCCCCTCGTCGACGAAGAACCTCCCCATCTCCACCTCCATCCACCCGTCGTCCCTTCTACACGGGCTTTTAACAGGCCCATGAGTCCCCGAGCCCCGCGGTGGCACTCGAAACGACGCTGAGCGGCCCAGCAGCGTCAGTCGCGGCTGAGGAGGGTCGCTCTCATCAGGTTGCAGGCATACGTTTTGTTTGGAGACGTGCGATCCAAGCTTGATAATCGACTCTTGGGGTGGAAATGTGAGGCCATATGATCCCCGAGTTATGTTGAAGATGAGGTATGCGCAGTATGTTGTTTTCGGGGAGAGAGCTCGGGCTTTGATGCTGCATTGGATCTCCAACCAGCACACCGTCACGAGTTCAGCAACCTCTGGAAACCTGGAAGAGTGAGCGGAACAGCAGCAGGGAAAATTCCATCTTTATAATTACTTCATCAGAACTAATCGAAGTTAACGAAACTTAGCTTACTAAAATGAAGGATCATGCCCTTTACAGTCAACTATTAAACACATTTGTTTTTGTTTTTTTTTTTTAATTTAAAAAAAAACCTGGAGTTGGATTCAGGTTTCCACTTCCAATAACGCGCAGTGTCTCCCCACGCTATCTTCAATCCTCTTGCTGAAATCCTGAAGCAC